CAGTAGGTCATGTCTGCTTGCCACTTCCAAGAGCATCTCGAAACACCCAAGGATGAACATGAGGTTCACAAGATGCCGAGTTGCCATTCTATCTGCGACTTGCCGGGCGACAGGCTGCAGAAAGGAATCGGGGAAACCGTACGGCTGCCTAGGCCGCACGAGATACAAAGCGTAGCTGTAGGTCGATGACTGTACATGCCGATTATGTTGGTAACCTAGTGAAGCGACTCGCACTTCCATGAAGACCACAGTCCGGGCCAAGTTGCGGTTCGGGGTAGCGAGGCGGTCCGGCTGCGAACCTTGCTCACGCGAGGAGCCACGTGCGAAACAGACCCCGACCACCGTCCTGTAGAAAGCAAGCAGGAGATAAGACGTGGAAACGTGGCTGAGTGCTTGATTCAGGAGCAGAAGTCAGGGGAGGATTTCATAGCGATTGCCATCCATACCTTGACGATCGTGAGTGTTGAGGTGCACAAGGCGCCGGCATTGTATGGCTGCCTTGGTCACCGCGCATGTCTGACTCGAGATGGAGGGTAAGAAAGACCTGTGCGGACCTGTCAGAAAGTCAGGGCCGCACTGAAAACTGAGGGCCTCCAGAACGGTGATATCGAATCATTCCCTAGAGCTTACGTACTGACCAACCCAGCCCTTGTCCACGGGAAGTCAACGGCTCCCTGCTCCCTGGTTCCCCATCTTGAATTGATATGGGCTGTTCATGGTGCAAAGGGATGAATTAATGGGATGCGAGAGATTGAATGGAGGGGCGCGCCGATATGAAGGGATCTTTATGGTCAAACATTGAAAAAGAAAAACTCCCAAATTTGCCTCGTGCCTGATCTTGCCGCTCGGACTTTCTTGCGGTGCACAAAGCGATGTTCAGGTCAATAGAAGGTTTCCCAATGATGAGGTGAGGAGACCGATGAAATGAGGCGTGTTTCATCGGTGACGTTGGGGCCGAAGAGTCGAACCGGCTCCAGATCAACTTCCCTGCTGCCAATCATTCTGTTGATGGGCGGCCAATCGAGCCTCAGCGGGGCGCGCCACTGGCGCTGCAACGTGCTGACTGGTTGCTGTTTGGACGACGGTCTGCCCCTGGGCTGAACCGGGGTAAGCCAAGACGCTAAGGCAGGGGCGGACGGCTAAGTGTTCCAGGTTGTCCACCAACTCGGGAGCTAACTGCGCACATAGTAGACCGTTGTAAGGAGGGGTGTGCTTAGCAGCTCTCAACGACAACGGTCACTCGCCCTTCGCTTTGTAACCTTCAGCGGATTGCCAAAGGTGCTCTCGGTCAACCGAATAGACATTTCCATGGCGAGTCAGGCCGTCTTTTAGAGATAATCTGGAGAATATCGATGATAGCATGCATGTCAAGAGCTGCAATCATGGCCCGGCAGGTCCTCAATGGCGAGAAGGTGCTTCCCTTCTACCTGCAGGATAGTGTCGGGTCGAACAAGATTGACAAGCCGCCTCTTTGAAAACCTGTCACGTTTTTTTTTTGGAAGGGCCAAGGAGGCTGCAGACAATCTGGTCAGTTACGCTCAAGGGATCGGGAAGTGTCCTTGCTTATTGTTCCCTCACGTCTCAGCGCATGGCAGAGGGCAAGAATGAGGTGAGGTAGAGATACCTTAGGAACTTCATAGAAGCTGTCCCTTCTAAACCTACACCCACGACAAGGTACTGGGAGAAACGTACAAACGAGATCAAAGGAACCGTGATTGCGGGGGTATCGATCGGCATGCTTGCTTGCGCGACATTCAATTCCTTCCCGTACTGGGGAGATCGCTGTAAGTTGCAGGGCCTGGGGGTGCTTGCCGCTAGAGGTAGCTTCAGCACTTGGGCGCACCGTACAGGTACCTCCTTAGCTTTGGAACCCAAGGCCCAATTCAAGCTGCCCTAAATATTCTCCCGTTACCTCTCAACCACCGCTTTCCCCTGCGACCTTCTCAACCGACCTCATTCTTTCCCTTCATTCTTCTTTCTTCCCAACGCTCCCTTCCTTTGGTCAACCAAGACAGCAACCATTAGTGGCCTTTTGTCACGTTTCATTCCTTTCATTTCGACCACTCAACGTTCCCTTTTGAGACAATTCAGCAACCAAAACATCTCTCCACCGTCTCACATCGACGTCAAGCCTCGAGATCGTTTTTTACTGTTCGCGCACCTTCAGGCAAGAACCCGCAAGACCAAGCTCTCTTCGCCTTCCTCTTTCTTGTCCCTCCTTCAACGACGGCATTTTCAGATATTCTCCGGTAGAAACTACCAAGGCAACGGTTCAATAACTCCGAAATAACAAGTGCTCCAGTCTGTCCAACCTCGACAACTGAACTCTGTTAGTGCCTGAACCACGCCTTGTCCTCTTCCAGTACGTGACATATTCGGGTGTCCTTAACGGATCCAAGGATCGACATCAGCAGTGCTGCCCCCAGGAGGTTCTGAGTAAATCACATACATTTGGACTCTTGCCGCTTGTTGGACAAACAAGTTGCCACTACACCACGGGAAAAAGGTAAGTCGCCTATTTCCACTATCACTCAGCATTCCACAGAGGAACGAGTCCTCCAGGCCTCTACTTTGAGACAGCTCTCCTGCTTTGGCATGAGCCTTTGGGTAGTGTCAGTAGCCAAGGATTCAGGGCCCGTCAAGTGACGGTCGGATACTGCCATTACTCGATCACACACGCACCCACGTCTCCGCAAGAAGGGCCCCAATGTGACTAGGTCGGGCGGATCGCTTGCCATACAAGACACTACATCCGTTCCTTCATGCCTATGTGATTCATGGACCTGAGGCTACCTATACCTTCAAGCACGGGTCGCCACATGGGACTGTACTCCTCAGCAAATACATTTATTACCACGTCTGCTTCCTCCCTCACGTACTCATTCATCCTTCTGCATCATTCACCTCGCTACTGATTCACTCGTTTTTGCTCTTTATTTTTCTCCAGTGCGGGCACTGACAGACTGCAGATCTATTCGTTCTTTTGATTCCCTTAAGTTCTTCAAAATGAAGTCATCGACAATCCTGTCCTTGGCTGCCGCCTCCCTGGCCGCGGCTGGTCCCATTGATCTCCTCAAGCGTGTCTGGCAGACCGAGGTGGTCGTTCAGTGGACAACAGTCTATGTCACCGAGGGTAGCGTGCCAACCGACTCGCCTAACGCTGCAGGACATCGGCACCCAACAACTCACATCACCATGACGACGTCGACCACAGGTGCGTCTAGCTCCAGCTCCACGCCTGTCGTCGTTGTCCCCGAGACACCTGCTGCCGCTCCGGCCGCTCCTTCCACGACCGTGGCTATCCAGGCTCTGACCTCCTCGACAAACACACTCGAACCAGCTCTCGCGGCTACGAAGGCTCCTGTTGCCGAGGCACCTGCTTCTGTGGCCGCTTCCGCTGCGTCGCACATTGCAGCCACCTCTGTGGCCAACGAGGCTGCCGCTCCTACGGACTTCGAGAGCACTGTGGTCTACCACCACAACATCCACCGTCTGAACTATAGTGCTCCTGCAATCGAGTGGGATCAAACCTATGCCGACTGGGCTGCCCAGACTGCTGCCAAGTGCAAATTTGCACACGATTTGTGGGTTTCTTCTTCATAAGACAAGCTCCGTGGAGCATTATATACTGACCCATCTTCAGGTCTCCCGGCGACGGTAAATACGGTCAGAATCTCGCCATGTGGGCCACCACAGGCGATGCCAAGAGCTTGGGCGAAAACATGGCGATAGCTCAGGCCATCACCGACATGTGGCACAACGGCGAGTGCATGGCCTACCCCAAGGCGGACTATGGATTGGACACCCCGAACATGACGGACTTTGAAGTCTGGGGACACTTTTCACAGCTGGTTTGGGTTGGCTCTAAGATGGTCGGCTGCAAGGCACAATACTGCGAGCCTGGCACGATGTATGATAACATGGGTGCCTGGTTCTCCGTTTGCAACTATTTCCCTGCCGGTAAGTCTTTAGACACTCCACTTCAGGACTTTGATATCTAGATCTTTGCTGACTGGTCATCACAGGCAACATGGGTGGTCAGTATGGGAAGAATGTTCTTCCCCCACTCAACGAGCCCACTGTCGTTGCTTAGGCTTTCGAGGCGTTGTTGACAACTTGGAGAAAACCATCTTCAAGCAACATCTGTGGCGTCTTTGCAGTTTAGGAAGCTTGCATACATCAACTCGTTCTTGCCAGGAATGTCGTCATATATTCGTTTCTCCCGACCTCTCTTCACAAGTTCCGGATTGTTTTCTTTTCCAGATTTCATGAAGCAACCATTCATCATCCCACTGAGATGATTTTCTCCTTTTGCATGTGTACAGAATTGATCCAAATGCTTCACTCTAACGACGGCATGACGTTGGCCTGAAAAGTGCTCGCTGGAACACCCATGGTGCAAAGCATCGAATGTTAGAGGCCGCTATGGGTTTACGTTTTGCATCTTCAATTCTTCCCTTTGGTCGCTCCCCCAGGATGCTATCAACACCTGATCCTACGGCGGTTGACCTTTGGCGCTGTCATTTTTTGTTCTTCGTTATACATCCTCTGGCACCTTACTGCTCACACTGATCGCATCCGAGAAACCACTATGAGGTTATCTGCTTGTGAGGGAATTCGGCAGTATTTACCACAAGGTGACCGTCTAGAAAAATTTCGGTAGCTTGCGGGGGCAAAGACATTGTCTAGTCTCTCCATGAAATTGAGGTTAACTGATACCACTCTTGATCCAAGTACCCTTGCCTGGTACATCAACATCCTGCTCTCCATTTGGTGCCGTAGGCCTGAGCCAACAACGGATACCGACGACCAAAGCAGAAGGAAGCTGTAGCTGGGATGAAAGGTCACTGAAGGGGCCCTTAGTGGTCTGATATTAATAGCACAATGACCAAAAGCAACGAACCGGTTCGAGACTATCGTGAGGATCTGCTGGCGCCAAGGATGGTTGATAGAGAGTGAAAGAAAAAAGAAACAGAAGATAGTACGACAGGAAATGAGTCCGTCAAGGACAGGATTCGGACCTGCGCGTCCAAAGACACGGCGTGGTCTACTATGAGTTTAGCAGGGCCGCCCGTTAACCACTCCGGCACCTTGACTTATGCGGTAGATTTCACGCCCTTGTCTAGTTGTGGTTCCCAGCCTCATATCGCACTGATAGCATTGTCATACTCTACCGCTGTGTGAGTCCCTACCACAACATTGCCTTGGTTTTGCATCCTGAAGTGAGAAATTCAAGCCGTTTCCCCGACTAAGTTATTCTTCAAACAAGCGTCTGATGGAGGTGTCACCTGGGAGTGGTTGCCTACATGTCTGACGGCAGAACACGAGCATTTGAGATCATCTCGAAAGTGCCTCTACAAAGCACCAGCCAAGCTCTGCATTGCGAAACTCTAGCCTCGAAACGCGAGAAAAGGGTCAAGATCCTGAAAGCTTCAAGGTCAGGATTTCCAAGTCCATCGGCAGCGGTGGAAGAACTTGCGGTTGGCGGTGGACTACGTCGTTTCCGGAGTCATTGTTAGCCAGAAGGACCAGCAATGCGGCCGAGCAACGTACGGGAACCGCACCTACTCAAGCAAATGCACGTGATGGTATATCTAAAGCACTCGAGGGTCTCTTCGCTACCCGTAAGAATCGACCGAAAGTAAAATGGAAAAGCTTTAATTGAGGAATTCATCTTTGTCGCTTTCAAAAGTCCCGTCGAGGTCTACGCTTGCTCCTTCCTTCTGTGCCGCGGTGCGCCTTCCCCATGGATAAACACCATACTCGAGTTCTCGCACGGTGAAAGAATAGTGACATGTTGTCCGTCACTTGCTCAGGTGACGCGCCCGGTGCTGTCCGTTCGATGAACCTCAACTCCTCTTTCTCTCTAGAGATACTCCCGCGACCACTTCCACCACCTAACCCTCTTTTTGCCCTCATCATTATCCCATCTCTTCTAGTATCTGTCAGCAAGGCGCATTCCAAATGAGCCCTAGTAACTCCTTTATTTGACATCTTCTGCAATATCCTGGTCGAGTAAACCTACGAATTGAGGCTGTTTCTGCGAACGTTCCAGCCATCACCTGTTACACACCGGAAGGCTCGAGCTGTCCATTGGGAATCACAGCCAGCTCGCCACCATGTTTTATAGCCATGAAAGTACGAGATGCCACTATCTTGGTCTCCCGGGTACGGTTTGCTGTAGCTGACCTCTCCCTAGTTCTGACGAGCGCCCAGCATGGCGTCTCTACCATCTGGTAAGCCTCCTCCTATTCCCAGTCGCGTTGAAACAGCAAGATACTTAGACTCAAGCTTTCCAGGTTGGTGGCTACAGTCGGCCCAAAATCCAGCAATCGCAGAATCACCCGCAAAGCCATACAGGGCGTGAACATTCCTCGGGCATGCGATACAATCATTAAGCCAGGCGCGCCGATTGCCCTGCGGCTCCAGGGCAACCTCCTGTATGGAGTATCGCGAGTGTACGAGCATCAGTGCTTGTACATGTTTACAGATGCGGAGAAGGTTAAATCCCACATGCAGACCTTCTTCCAGGTTTGGGGTACTAGCACCATCGACCCGAACGCAGGAAAAGCTAAGTGAGTAGTCCATTACCAGCTGAGTCCTCAGCCAGAACAGCAGCAGACTAGCGGTCTTCTAACTTGAGGAAGGCGCGAGCAACTGATTATCATGAATGATCCCGCCTTTGAACCCCAGTTCAATCTTCCCAAACTCGATATCGATGACGGGGGCAACGTTGTGCTTGGGAGCAAAAGCCAGGACAGAAATACTCAGAGAACGTCCTCCCAGCTGTCGCCGTTCGCTAAGGATCTCTCATTGACGAGTCTTCTTTCAGCGGCTGAACTTCTCTTGCCTCAATCATCCGCTACTGCCAGCTTTCATCAACTCGAAATGCCGTTTGAACATGACAGCTTGGCCTTTCGGAAGGCTGGTGAAGATGGACAGAGACTTGGCTTAGAGGAAGAGCCACTCAACGTGGATGACGACTGGGATATCCGCATAGATGCTGACGGCAACATCATTCATGACGAAGAACCCGGATTACCGGCTTTGTCACGTCCAGCTGCGGATGAACCACATCTAGCAATGCCACAAAATGAGATCGGTCCTGGACTTGAGCACCACGACGACATTGTTCTCGAGATGGGTGACGACCCCCTTCCAGACGCTGAGGCATTCTCGCGAACACAGGCACAGAGTGAAGAACCACAGGTACATGACAGTAGCTCAGTCACCGCCGCTGCTTCAGTGCGAAAGCGAAGAAGAGCTCTGATCCGCCCCGACCAGGCCACCATGATTACAAGAGCCGAGCAGCAGACATGGAACAACAACTACGTCGAACGCATGACTGAGGCACGCAACAAGCCTCGCAAGCCAGCTGCTATTCAGGCAAGCAAAACAGCTTATCAGTACCTGTTTGGCAATGGTATATTTGGAGTCGCTGTTACGAATGGTATCACAGGCCCCAATCATCCGCTTGCCGAGCTTTTCTCTGGTGCAGCATTGAGGAGGGGCACGGGGTTTGTGATCGACGGCAATGAAGGCCTCGAGGTAGGACGTATTCATGGCCAGCGTCGCTCGTCCACGCAGGCTTTTCCAGAGAGCGAAGAGGCGGAAGGAGCCCGGCGGGTCCGTCCACACCTTGACGACGACCAAGGCCAACGTGGCCACTCTGCTCAACCGCTTCTCCAGGAGGATAACACGCTAACCTTCTTCGAGCCGGATGTTGAGGTTGGAAGAGAGCCTGGTTCCGAAATGGCTAACCTAACCGCACCATGGAACCGATCAGGCTCCGTACCTGGATCGTCGGTCAAGGGTGGCAGCGCCCGGGCCGCCGGAGCAGGACCGAGCCGCGTTAGTGCGAGTCCCCTACACGGACGAGGTGCCGACTTCCCTGCCATCGAGCGCTTCAGTGATGATATACCATACGGCTCAGACGATTTTATGGCGCCCAACTCCTCTTCCGCCATAGGCGCATTCCGTCCAGCTGGCCAGGAAGGTGCAAGTACGACATCACAGATGCTGCAGAACGCCCTCAACCACGAAGGACGCAACTTCCTTGAGTTCGTCGAAGGTGTTGCTGCAGAAAAGGGCGAGAAACGCCGTGACAGACGGTGGGTCGCCTTCGACGACCTCTTTGAACAGCACGATCGCAACACAGTGGTGGCCACACAGGCATTTTTCCACATTCTGACGCTGGCGACAAAGGATGTGATCAAGGTTCAGCAACAGGATTCGCTTGAGGTCGAATTCGGAATGATTTACATTGGTGTCAAGGTCGGTGAGCAGGCCGCTAAGAATCCAGACGTGCTCATGGGTGGCGTGGGCGTTGAGGTCGAAGGAATGAGCGTGGTCCAAGGCGAAGTGCATGGCGCAGCTCGAGATAGCGAAGAGGGGAGCTCTTTCGAAACGATGGCCTGATGACTGGACACGAATATTTGACTGCATAAAAGGGAAAGCTTGGGGCGCATATCAGAGATCTAGGCGGCATCGGATGGGATGGATATGAAATGGGTTGTGCATACCCTGGCTTTGCTCTGGGAGGGTGTGTGTTGGGTCATCAGTTTCAGATTTTGGCATGGCATGATCTTGCAAGGGCATAGGAAAGAAGATATTCATACCTTGATGGCTAGGATCTCTGATATGTCAATGAGGTTCAGGGGACATGATGGATTCGGAGTTCTAGTTGAGAAACACGATACATAGAATCGTCCAATGCGATAAAGATGCATCGCGAATTTGACTCGAGACGGAAACCGGCTAGAATTTCGACTGCCACATTGACACCAGAACGCCAAGGTCCATGCTAAGACTATGTAAACGAGTTAGACTCGTATGCGGGCCATGCTCTGGTCAATTATGGCCGGCTTTACTCATCATCATCATACTGCTCACCACCCTCACGATCCGCGAACACCATGTATTCCTCGTCTATGTCTTCTCGCTTGCCATCCATCACCATTTTCCAGGCCTCATGAATCGACTCCAAGGTTGAGTCATCAAAGGCTAGGTTGAGGGACGGGGCGGGAAGATGGACGAGCGTGCCCTTGCTTTGAATTGAGGTTGAGCCGTGTGATTGCTGGTAGTACAGCTGATATAAACATTGGGGTGACTCCAAAGCCGTCAGTAAGGATTCCAAAGCTGCTTCCAAGAGAGCCTTGGCCAACGGACATGTTCGCGTGGTAAAGTAGAGGACACCTAAGCTTTCCCGTTAGCCACATTTCCCATAAGTAGTGATGGTAGCCAGACAAAGCGAGGATGGGTGTGTGATCAGAAATAAGGTGTGTTTTCGTCAAGGCACAATGGCTCAGACAATGTAGATAAGTATTTAGGTTTGGATCATCATGACACTTGAGATAGGTAAAGGGGTGAGAGGGTTGGAAGTGGTAACTTACTTTGTCCGATAGGGCACTCGCCAGTATCACTCGAATGAGCATACACATAGACGGGTTGCTCAGAGGCAATACCATCTTTCGTAATCACGGATCCCGGAGGATACGCAATAACAGCAACAGCCGGTGCTGGAGCCGCTTCCACCGACACCTCGAATAGCGAGGCCAGTGGAGATGTGACAACGGCCACAAGCCTGCTTATTTGCTCTGCGCCAGCCTCAGGCTGGTCCTCAGTTCCTAGCACAAGCCAGGTCGTCTTGACGGTCGTTCCACTGCTCAGCACAACCTCAACTGGCTCATCCACTTCAGCCTGGTCAACAACCTTCTCGATTCCAGTACCCAAGATGTAGATGCCACCGCCAACAGCACCAGCTCGACAAGCCACCTGCGCAACCTCACTCAATCCACCCCACTTGGGGTACACAGCTGCGAAGCCAGGTCCAAAGACACCCATGGATGTGAGATGGCGATTGATAACCGCCAATCCATCTCGGGTGACAACGTTCTGATCAAGGGACATTGTGAGAGCAAGCACGTATGCCTGTAGTTCATTATCGAGACTGAACTGCGATGCCAGAAAGGTTGTCAAGGGCTCATCGGCATGAGACCGCCAGACCTCGGCGTTGCTCTCGCTGTCATAGTCGAGAACGAACTTGAGAAACTTCATGAGCGACCGCTTGGCGCGAGCAGGAATAGCTGTGGTAGAG